TTCTGTGTTGTTTGAATTCCTACTCTCATTCAATTTCTGAGAAGCTTGGTTGAAATACCTATCTTGCATTGTAGTATTCTTTGTCAGTTGAGGTTGAATTGTCACCTTTCTGGAATCAACAAAAAAACCTGACTTTGGAGCTGGAGGTTGAGTTGCTGGATTTTGTGAATAGACAACAAACCCTGATTGGTGAATTTGAGTTGCTGGTTTTAATGAAGGGTCTCTTGATAAATCAGTAAACAATCCCAATTGCTGAGCACACACTTTCGTATTTCCTGAATGAACTGATATACCAACTAGTTGATGTAGGTTTGCTGAGTTAACAAGTGAACCAGATTGCTGAGGTTGAACTGATGTTTTATGCACTGAGGTTGAGTTAAACTGAGACTGGTTCTTTTTTGGTTCCTCCTTTCTTGAAACCCTGAAGTACAGAAAGCTTAAGCTTGTTATGAAAAAATAAAAAAACTGAAATTGTACTATGAGCATTAGCAGACTAGCTGGATGAAAAACAACTAGCCTCATTAGCAGACTGCTAGATATAAAACAACTAGTTTCCATTGCAATCATATCCAATACCTATTTCTCTTGAGCATTTTTCTCATGTCCTTCTCTTGGACCCGTGCTTCTTTAGCAGTCCTAGCAAGAGATCCTCTTGTGTGCTTTTCCATCAGAACTTTCTGCCTCTCCCCTTCATCTTCCCATCTCTAAAGTTGACGAATAGAATTAATTACCATAAAAAAGATTCTCAAATGATGGCAAAGGAACAAAAGTTACTTAGCACAGACCTGTCTCAAAGTTTTCAACCTGTAAAGGTTCCGACCCTTAATTAGAAGGGGATGAAGTGGAGGGAGTGGTTTTTCACCCTTGCTCCAGAGTACCTCAATCTGGTCAGAATAGCCAAGAGCAGCAATTTTATCAACTGCAATAATATGAAGACTTAACTTGCTCGTTGAGTTATAGCTTTCCATCTAAAATCAGTATAATCTGCTGATTGGTAATTTACAGCCACTTCAATTTTATGAAATTATTATTTCAATCTAAATGAAGTTTAAAATGCAGCGCAATTGTTTTTAACACTTCTATTCTTTGATAAAAATCAAAAGATTCTTGGACTCACTGTAAATGTGTGCTGCTGTTTAGCAGCGCCATAGCTTTCTTTAACAATTCGGCCTGCAACAATCCTTGTGCCACATGGAGGGCCTCTTCCACTCCTAGAAGCTATGTCAAATCTACAAAGATAAAAGAACATTAACACTAGAACGTCAAAGTCCAGGGTACAAATTTGGGGAGGGGCTTAGCAGTACTTGTGATCCTAATTTCCAGTTTCCATGAGAATCATAAAGAAAATAAACCAAGCGCTTTTTAATCAACTAGCAAAGACATTGAATGTAATATGCAATAATACAAGTAGTACATGGCTGCAAACATCAAAATTAGAGGTATAACTACTTTAATCATCTAACTGTAAAAATAAAACACAAATAAAAACAAAAGCTTACATTTCATAAACATTTTGTTCAAACATGACAACATCGCTAGTGCATGCATCCCCTGCATAAGGTCATTGTATCAGTGGGTTTTAAACACTAGAGGAATGAAAAATGTTAAGTACACCATCTTAGTGGAAGAAAATTGAGACATACACAAGGAATGATATGATTGCAAAGATTATCTTATGATTCTATAACGAGTGATGAGGGAGGGTTTATAGGCAGGGGGGAACAATCTGTGTTTTCGTAACATAGCCTAGGATCAAATAGAATAATGACGATAATAACAATATGAATTAACTTAGCAAGCATACCTTTACAATTCAAAACAAAGCTAGATGCTGGGTACTTCTTCTCACCTTCACCATTCAAAATCCTGAGGAACATAAACGAACTTCAGAAATGGGAGGATTAATCATATCTCCAAAAAGCTAGTAAAGTGGCTGAAATTACTCTAAATGCTCCTTAATCCGCTGAATGAGTGTGTCTTTATTGCCAGTCAATCTCAACCCATTCTTCCTCAGGTACAGCTTACATTGCTCCACTTTCAATTTCTCAATTTGTCTAGCTGCCACCCAACAATGACAGAAAAAAAGCAAACTTATATTAGTACACAAAAGATGAACATGACCAGTTTAGTGTACATTTTTTGAGATTGGTTGGTCCAAATCGACATCTTCTTGACCTCAATTGGGTCACAATTCACAGAATCACTTTGATATTACTTATGGCCTATAAACCTAATGAAAAAGGATAAATCAGCTTCTTAGTTTAGGGAAGATAATACAAAACTGAAATTGATTAAAAGGGCAAAATTTCCTGAACGTTTGCCAATGCCATGTATTTTCTTCAATTTTTTCATTCTGAAAAACCAAAAAGTTAAAATTTCTGGGCTAACCTTCAATAATCTTTTGGACCATTTCAAAGCTTTTCTCATCTTTCTGGTCCAGCCCAGGTAAAACCACCTCCTGCCCATCAAGGTCCGCTTCACTACCAAGATCGATATCTTTAGCAATACTGCAAATGCAACAAAACTCATTTCAATTCCAAAACTTAATCATAGATTATTAGCATTAAATCAAAATTTAAAGGCAAAAGAAAATAACCCATTAGCATAAACTTCCCTCTGATAAACCAGACACTAACCGAGTCTTTGAATTACGCTTGATTGAGAGCTTTGAGAAGTTGGCATGGGTTTCTTCAAGAGTACTGCTATAACTCGGGTCCTTCGTCGAATCATCCGAATCATATTCCGGGTCGGACTCTCCGTTTTCCAAGAAATCGCTATCTTTTTCTTCATATTGATGATATTTAGATTGTTCAGAGGTTGCCATTGATGGGTTTCAATCTGGGTTTATCGCTTAAACACCAAGAAGGTTGCTTTATACTTCTATTTAGATGGGAAATGTGGGATATTTTTAGGGTGAGAGGGATTTGAAAGAAGGGAAATTTGAAAACCACGCAGCACAGAAGCCTAAAGAGGGAAGTTTTATCAAATGCGACCGTTGGGATCAAGTAGAGAACCATTTTAAATTGAGTATATGCAAACCTACCCACAAGCCTGAGTTGAGTCCTGTTATTGTTAGTAAAAATCAAGAGTTAACTTTCTGTTGAGTAAAATGACACATGTTGCAAAAATAACGAGGAAATAGGGGGCACATGGAATTTTGGAAGGCCCTGTTTGGTTCATTGGAAAGGAGACTTGGGTAAGTCCAGGAAATCAATTGCTTTTCCTTAATTGCTTCTGAAAATAGTATAGCCGATCGGCTATTCTAGTTTTTCTATTTTTTTTTTCTACAAATAGTATAGCTAGACGGCTGTACTTGTGTGACGCACTGACGCATGGAGCTTAGAGCATCTCCAAGAGAGATGTCAAATACCAAACATCAAATTTAAATTTGATGGCTGATGTGGAAATTTGACATTTGCATAGTTTTACACTCCACCCGATATGTCAAATAAATACTTATTGTAACAATCAAATCATTTAAGATAAAGAAGAAAAAATATATAAAAAGGAAAATAATAAATGAAAGTAACAGCCAACTATCTTTTAAAAATAATAAAATATTCATTTGACATCTTGCTTTTGGGATGTCAAAAATAGCATCTCAACGTCCAGCCTTCATTCCACATCAGCTTTAACACATCGGTTGGAGTCATGTGAGATGTTATTTCTAGCCGTTAAATGTCTATGTGCTATGTGGCACTTTTGACACATCGGTTGGAGATGCTCTTAGGCGCTGGGCGGGTCTTTATACATTCGGCTATACTAGATTTTGTTTGAAATTTTTTAACAAATAGTATAGCCGTGCGGCTACACTCTTGTTCCTTTTAAAAAAAAAATATTATACCCCCCCGTGCGGCTATATATTTTTAAATGAAAATTTAATCTCAGAAATTTCGCCGGCATATACCTGTGTAGACGAACATCCATCGGGACAGGTTTTGTTTAAAAAAAAAATATATAAATATAACATTAGTTTCTTTACTTTTGTTTTTTGACATACTTCTTCAATTTAATATATGTAATTAAGTAATATGTTAAGCCTTTTTTAATTACTCTAGGTGTCACATGTTACAACAGTAAAGCCGCCCGGCTATACTATTTTAAAAAAATTGAATATAGCCGTACGGCTATACTATTTCTTGAAAAAAATTCAGAGAGAATCTAGTATAGCCGTATGAATATATAAAGACCGGCGCAGCACCTATGCGCTAGGCGTCAAACGCGTACGGCCGGGCGGCTATACTATTTTTATAAAAAATAGAAAAACAAGTATAGCTGCCGGGCTATACCCTTTTTAAAAGCAATTAAGAAAAACTGAGTATAGCCGGCCGGCTATACTATTTTTTCTTTCTAATATATATTGTTTTGATTCAATAATATGTGAGAATTATGCGTGTAATGGTTAAGTAATCTATATTTAATTAATCAAAATGTTAGCCTTGGGGCTCTTGGGCTGTATAATTTAAATTAAACCCGATTAGTTAATTAATTATTTGAATTATTTTTAAAATTCAAACATCATATAATGTTTTTTTTTTCTTTTTCTGATTAAGTTTATCTTGTAGATTTGCAGAGAACATTCACATCATCATTCTTGTGTAGCCACATAGATAAACACAAAAATTTAGCTAGAAATCAAAGCCCTAGTGCTAGGACTTTGATTTAGAAACTTGTATCCTAATGGAGCAAACGCTATATTTAATTTCATTATTCTATTTTTTGTTTAAAATATAATTACTAATTAAGGTAATTAAAAAAGACTAACATATTACTTAATAACATATATTAAATTAAAGAAGTAGGCTAAAAAACAAAAGTAAAGAAACTAATTTTATATTTTTTAATTTTTTAATTTTTAAAAAGAAAGAAAAACCTGTCCCGACGAATATTTGTCGGCACAAGTCTATGCCGGCGAAATTTCCCATATTAAATTTTCATTTTTAAACAATATGGCCGCACGGCTATACTATTTATATATACAAAAATGGACTCGCCCACGACCTAGGTGCCACGTGTCAAAACCGTAAAGCCGCCCGGCTATATTATTTTTTATTGGGAAAAAGCGTATAGCCGAACGGCTATACTATTTCTTAAAAAATTTCAAAAAGAATCTAGTATAGCCAGACGGCGATTCTATATATGAATATATAAAGACCCGCCCAGCGCCTATGCGCCACGCTTCGAACGAGTACGGCCGTGCTGCTACTCTATTTTTAGAAGGAAACGAGTATAGCCATGCGGCTATACTATTTTCTTTTTAGTATATATTATTTTGATTCAATAATATGTGAGAATTAGGGGTGTAATGGTTAAGTAATATATATTTAATTAATCAACAGGTTAGCCTTGGGCCTTGGCGCTCTTAGGGTATGTGATTTAAATTAAACCCGATTAGTTAATTAATTATACAAACAATTAGGAAACAATTGAGTACAGCCGCCCGGCTATACCATATTTTTAATATATACTATTTTTATTCAATAATATGTGAGAATTATGTGTATAATACGTGAATTTTGTGTCTTATTGAAATTTTTGTTAAAACGTGAGAAATACTTGCATACGTATATAATACATTATTAAACGTGAAAGTGCTAAAATCTTTATACGAGTAATAACTCTAGAAAAATAAAAAATAAAAAAGGAACAATAGATACTCGAGTAGTGACCTAATAGTAATGGATAGGGCTCTTGGGCTATGGAGAAATTTAATTAAAACACCCAAACGATTTCACAAAAGACTTAATAAATAGAAATGAATTATTTTGTGTACTTTTTCTTTATTTTTTTTTAAATATGAAATAATAATTAAAATATAATTACTAATTAAAGCAATCAAAATAATAATTAAAAAAATTCTAAAAATAATATAGTATAGCCACCGCGGCTATACTATATGTGTATATACAAAGACCCGCCCATCTACGTGTTTCTACATGAAATATATTTATGATAATCCACCCTTTATATTATTCATATCCACCCTTTATGGGAAATCGTTGTTTGGCCTATGGGAAAGTGAAGCCATCCTCCCAACATGGGTTTTGTTTTCCCTTCTCATGGGAAAGTTTGAGAAAATGAGCCAATATTAAATAAACATTTTTCATGACCATTTTGTCCCCATTTACAATTTAGAATTACAATATATCATTAAATGCATTCTTTTTTTATTTGATTTAATATGGGTATAATTGAAAATTTATACAAACTTTGTTTTCCATTCCTACTTAAAATAAACATGGGAAAAGAAATCTTCCATTTCTCATCTATTGGGAAATGACATGGGAAATGATTTCCCCTCAAATTCGTTCCGTGAACCAAACGGGGCAGAGGAGAATTGGATTGCACAAGACTTTTCTTTTGCTAGACATGGGGCCCAATATACCTTTTCACTTTGAAGTGGGCAATATTGCCTTGTTGGGGAGAGCATGTATATTTTGTCTATCCGTTTGTCTTTTTTATTGGAGCATGAAAATGCTGATGTGGCAAGGTAAATGAGGTTTGCCTGCTCTTTTGCCTCTTTCCTTGGAGTTTCTCAGGCCCAAATCCACATATCATAAAATTCAACTGAAATGGATGGGATAGGGTGAGAGGGTACGTGTCAAGTTTGATTTATCTTATAACCATAAAATCTAGCTAGGCAACCTTCATTTCCCAAAGGATTCTTTGTTTTTATGTTTAATATGCTGATATTATTTTTGTATTTTCCCAATGATTCTCTGGTTTTTTTATTCGTTTGATATTGTATTATGTTGATATTAGTCTAACATATTATGTTGTTCGTAAGTTCAAATCAATGATCAAACACATCATTGTCCAAATCTAAATAGAGCGGTCATATATTTGAATTGAAACCAGATGTTGTATTTGACTAGACATACTTGTCACAAGTGTTCTGTTACATAACACCTTCATTTGGATCCTAATACCATGGAAGCTTAACAATTAATGCATATTCATTTGGTCAATTCAGACTGCGATTTGATGACACAATGCCGTGCATAATTCTTGTAAAATGATGCCCACATAGGAATATTCAGATGCGAAAGCATATCTTTTAAGGATCCTTTTTAAGCAAATAAATAAATCCCTGGGGCTTAAGCAAAACAACAAATTAACAATCCATGGGGTCATGAACACAAATAAAATATGCAGTCCTTGATTTCTAATGCAGCCATTTGCTTCATTGCATTAAAGAAACCGCCTGTTTGCTGCTTCTGCTGGCTTAATTGTTAAGCACAAGTCAAACAAACGTGTAAGTTTTCAATTCCATTTAATCTTATATCTAATGCATGGAGAGTTAAAGTTGTTTGAAATTCTTCCCTGTACAAAGAAACTTGTTTTGGGGCACTGCATGCCTGCCTTTCTTCATGAGAGCACCAAAATTCCTAATTTTACGAAAAGAAAATTTGTGTGAGGGAAGTTAACATCAAACATCCCATATCTAGATGTCTTTGAAATCAATTAACTGAAAGTGACTGACTTGGTTGGCATGCAAAAACTACATTTTAAGGGAAACTCTGTCAAGGTTTTTCTTTTCATGCTAGCTTCTCAGCAAACCTTTTGGTTTTGACTTAGTCTCATTTCTTGCTAATATTATAGGGGGTCCTACTTTGGCTTCTCAATCTTACTTCTTTTAAATTGAAACCCTTTCAAAAGTGTTTCAGATTTTCCATCAGTGTCTTCTTGGGTTTTGTTTGTGTGAATTCTCATTGTCTTCAATGGCTTCTTCGTCTACGGCCTCACCATTCTGTACATGGCTACTTGCTGCTTGCATATCTTCGCCATATGAGAAAGACCACCCTATGAGGTCCTCTATATTTCAGTCTCCGAAGAGACTGAGTCAGTGGGCGAGAAGAAAGAAGCTCATTTCGAAATGCAGCTATGTTGGTGGGGCAGATTTTGCTAGCAATTTGAGTTCCTCATTCTCTGTATCTGGCGTTCATAACCTGATGAGTTCTTTCCTGGCTGCTGAGCCCTGCTATGATTCTAAAGTGCTGTATGAATCTTTGGCTTTCTTTGGTTCGAAGAGGTCAAGGACTAGAAGGCAAAGGCAAATGAATGGTGCTGTTCACTCTGGTAAATGTTTCATTTCAGAAAGTGATTATTTTTCTTGACTCTTGTAGAATTCGTTCCAGTTCATAAGCAAATTTTCCTTCTTCTCAATTTCAATTATTCTAGACTTGTGAAGCTGACATTTACATAGTTCAACTTAGTCTTTGTTGACTGTCCAAAAAAAAATTTGTTGTGTTGTTTGTACAAGTACCCAAAAGACTTGATAACCTGTTAGCCAAAAAACCAAATGGCTTGATGCCTAAGACACATGGAAGTTCAGTGTCTTTATGGTCTTAATCTACCAATTTAAAGCTTAACTGTTTTTTCTTTCCCATGGTGTTAGGCATAACTATGGCTGTGCCTGTGCAAAGAGCAGAACAAGGCACAACAAAGAAAAAACCTCTAACGAAACAAAGGCGGGTTGTTGTGACAGGATTGGGTGTGGTAACCCCGCTTGGACATGATCCAGATGTCTTCTACAATAGTCTTCTTGAAGGTGTCAGTGGCATAAGTGAGATAGAGGCTTTTGACTGTGCTCGATTTCCCACGGTAGATTTTCTTTGGCTCAGCTTCATTTTGTTGCATCTTAAAGATACGCTGACTCTAGTATCCTTTCAAACAGAAAATTGCTGGAGAAATAAAGTCTTTCTCAACAGATGGATGGGTCTCGCCAAAGCTTTCTAAGAAGGCAGACAAATTTATGCTTTACTTGATCAGTGCAGGAAAAAAAGCATTGGCAGATGGTGGGATTACAGAAGAAGTTATGGACAATTTAGATAAAAGCAGATGCGGGGTCATAATTGGCTCTGCACTGGGAGGAATGAAAGTAAGTTGAGCTTTGCATATAAATTAGCTAGGGGGCAAAATGGCTAAAAATTTCAGTTTTGAAATCCTGTTAATAATTCCATAAGCCATTGCTTAGTAGATCTGTTGTGGTTAAAGAGGACATCATATAACCTCTAATTGAATCTCACTTAAGGAACGAATAAGGACAGTGTAAATTTCGTGTCCAGTATCAGTTACTTCAAATGGTTAAAGAACCAAGTTATGTATTTACTTTCTTCTCCCAGTTTATCTACTTATGAAATTTTTTATCAGGTTTTTAATGATGCAATAGAAGCATTGAGGATTTCGTACAAGAAGATGAACCCCTTCTGTATACCTTTTGCAACAACTAACATGGGTTCAGCTATACTAGCAATGGATTTGGTAAAGTTCAAAGGCAATGTTGGGATTGTAGGATAGGCTCAATGCCATATAGTAATGTCTTTCCAACCTTGTAGCCATTTCTAAGTTTCCAACTTTCAGGGTTGGATGGGCCCTAACTACTCAATATCTACAGCTTGTGCCACCAGCAACTTTTGTATACTGAATGCTGCATATCATATTATGAGAGGTGAAACTGTAAGTTAATTTTTACTCGGTCTTAGACAGACATGAGATCGATATAATTTCCACTTCGGATCAACGATATATGATATGTTGTGACCGTGATTAAATTTGCAGGACATGATGCTTTGTGGTGGATCTGAAGCAGCAATTATCCCCATAGGTTCAATTCCTGTCATTCTTAATCCATGTAATTCAAATTACAATCTCTGCAACATATGAACTTAATCAAGTTTCATGGTTGATGAACGTGCAGGCTTGGGAGGTTTTTCGGCATGCAAGGTTCTGTCACAAAGGAATAGTGAACCAACTAAAGCTTCATGCCCTTGGGATATTGTACTGCTTTTCCTTAAACTAGTTTCATAGTTCACCTTCTTTTTATCTTTCATTCCTTTAATGTTTTAAGTCCTGACTTGAGATGTAATTTTCTGTCCAAAAGAATCGTGATGGTTTTGTTATTGGAGAAGGAGCTGGGGTTTTGCTCTTGGAAGAGCTAGAACATGCTAAGGTTTGCTAATCAACTTCTGTAGTTTTCCCATTGATTGTTGAAGTTTCATACACCCACATATTTATCGCTCAAAACCCTCTTCCCCCCTCTCAATAATATCACAGAGAAGAGGTGCAAATATATATGCTGAGTTTCTAGGTGGAAGCTTCACTTGTGATGCATATCACATGACTGAGCCTCATCCTGATGGTATGTATCAAGTATTCTAACCACAGGTTCTTTTTTAAAGCTTAAAAGAGCTATTGTGTTAAGGTCCATGTGATTGTTTGCTTACCAACCATCATTTTATTTATGTCTTAAATCAGGAACAGGTGTTGCTCTTTGCATAGAGAAAGCCTTGGATCAATCTGGGGTCTGCAGAGAAGATGTGAATTACATAAACGCCTATGCTGCATCAACACCAACAGGTGATCTGAAAGAATATCGAGCTATAATCCGCTGTTTTCGAAAGAATCCAGAGGTAAAGTGAGAGCTTATTATTAGTCACTAAGCTATCAAACTACTCCGGTGGTGCTCAGTTATGTTTCTAACAATTGCAGCTAAGAGTGAACTCCACAAAATCCATGATTGGTCACCTTCTAGGAGCCTCAGGTGCTGTGGAAGCTGTTGCAACAATCAAGGTAAGTTAGCTTCTGCTTCCTTACGGCATCTTGGTGAAAGAAGTTTTTCAAAGAAGTTAGAGCCTTAATTTCTAGTTTTGATGTTATCATACATTAATCAGAAGACAGAAGTGGTTTGTTTTCTAAATGGATATTAATAGTTTTTCACAACTTCACACTATGGCCTAGCTCTTAAGAACAGCTATTGGTTTCTTTTGGCTTACAAATAAGAATTACAAATTGATGTATGGTTTCTTTTCAAATGTAGGCTATACAGACAGGATGCATCCATCCAAACATCAATCTTGAGAACCCAGATGGAAGTGTGGTATGCATCTCTAGTTGTTTATAATCAAATGTTATCATTTCGGTTATCATTTCGGTGTGAAAGACTGTCACCGAAATGATCGCCAAAGTTCGGGGGTATTATTCATTTTCTGTCACTCATGAGATGACCCTCGAAACCTACTTGCTTATTATCTAGGTCCCTTATTCTTGAAAGTGTGCTATTTTGTTTCTAACACATCTGAATATGAGCAGGACATGAATGTGCTTGTTGGCCCCAAGAAGGAAAAGTTGGACATAAAAGTTGCATTGTCTAACGCATTCGGATTTGGTGGACACAACTCTTCTATCTTATTTGCACCCTACAAATGAAATTAATAAATTTGTATAGATCTCAAACTTGGAAACTCCACCCCATGATTATACAAGATGAGTATACTAGACTAGCTGCACTTCCCAGTTCACCAAACTCCTTGTACTCCCATTTTTATTTATTTATTTTTTAATTTTAGAATAATATCCTTGTACTTCCTTTGCTTTTAGAAAAAAACGCTTGTTGGTTCTTATCAGAAGAAAAATAAAATGCGAATGATGATAAATTGGTTTAAACCTCATATTTTAAGAAAATGAATCCATGCAGAAGAGCATTTTGGCTTATAAATCGGTATCTGTCATCAAACTTCATGTGTTTGATCGTTTATGCTATGCTCTTTGTGATTTGTTTACTGTTTGTATGACAATGTAGGCAAAATGCCATAACTTGGATTACAATAAACGTTCAACGGAAGTTAAAAAAAACATTTCGAGTTGTCACTTAAGCATTTCGAATTTAACTGGAAGCTCATTTCACATGGCTTATCAGAATACCAAAGTTCATAAACAGGATAAGACTAAAGCTACAGAGCAGGCTGCATAAAAAACAAACAATAATAGACAGGAATGAATGAAATTGAGAATGTATATATAAATAGCAAAATCTATTCCCTTTAACTAGTAGTATGATAAGATCTGATTCCTCAAGCTGTTCTTGAGGGTCTCTCTTCCATAGGGTGGATATGTACCCATCAGCAGAGGTTCTTACAGATTAATTTTCTCAATCAAACTCGGTCACCAATAAAAGTAAGCCCAAAACATCATTAAATCTTTCCTGCGGATAACCCAGCCAATCTGAAGTTCCCAACCCATTGATTATACCAGATGGAAGCAGTCCACCGCAACAAACAGATGCCCGTCAAAATCGTCACAGTTTCAGAACAAAGATGAAGTAGTTTTGATCATCGGAGCTTTATTACCCAGAAAAGGAGGAAAACAAGTCCTAGCACAATGGCAACAGGAGCCCACTTTCGGATCAGAGCCTACAATGAAAATGTGTGAGATCAGATGAGATGAGAAAGTAAATATCAGCTATATATACTACTCAGAATATAAAAGTTCAATTATGATCAAAATGCTTTGACAGAAACAGCTCAATCTAGAGAGCTCATGGCAGATTGGAAATTCTTCCTAATTGAAACAAATGCGGCTATAAAAGAAAACACCTATTTGATAACCAAAAAAAAAAAAAAAAGGACCATGGTCCAGGTAGTAGGGAAAAATACAAATACAATGAAAACAATTCAATCATGAGCATACAGCACCATCAGCCACAGTTAAATGAATTTTATAAGCGCAGAGGCATGAATAAATAACAGAATTTGAACACGCATTCCACTAAATAAAGAAACGGTATCATGTAAATGCCTCATCCACAGTTGTATTCATGCTGATCACAAGATAATACTACTTGATTTGAACTTGTGACACACAAAATATGTCCAATCCAAGAGTATGGTAATGGAAACAATTGGACACTACATCATTCAGACGAGTATTGAGGACAAGGTGTTTGAAAACGCCATACATCTCTAAGTTAGATAGCATATAATATTAGTTTAAACTTAGCCTATCGCAACTCATGAGATAAGAGACTAACCTGTCGATTCAAATCTCTCGCCTTATCAGCATATATGCGAGATTCTGATGTTAAACGGCTAGACATTTGACTGACCTCTGCAAAATTCAAATTCAAGAGGAAATTTATGACCTATATACACAAACAAAAACTTTCATGTAGAAGCAAATAGAAACTTACGGTCCAACTTTTCACCAACACCAAGAACTTCCTGAACATTGCGAGTCATTATTTGGTGGACTTCATAGAGCTCATCGTTCAACTTTGCAATATTCCGCTGAGTGCGAGTGTCCTGGTACAATTTCTTTGTTTTCTGTATGAATGTATCTTTTAAACATAGAAAGTAAAAGGAAATCAAACCCAGAAAGCAGAGCACCAATATGTACACAATAAGTGCAGAATAATTCCACATAACATCTGGATCACTAATTTCTGGAAATAGACCTACCAAATTTAATGAACGCATAAGGTCTTGCAGCAGTTTCAATTTGGGTCCCATTAACACGCTCAAATTCATTTTTGAGATCTTCAAGGTATTGGAAGGCAAGTTTCTTTGGATAGGCACGGTCACACATTGTCAGGTAACAGACACGTCCTTCTATGATATAGCTAAGAACAAAGGTCAAGGCAATAACATTTGTATGCTCTTCCTCTAATAAGAAGAATAAATAATACAACACTAAGACACAACATCGATAAAACAAATTACTAAATGACTAAACATAAGTGAAAGGAAAAACAAACAAACAAACAAACTGCATGCACAAAGACACATGTCTAATTGATATACTAAAAGATTATTATAATATTATGCAAGTATGCTAGAAGACCATATGTCTAATTGATATACTAAAAAATCACAAACCCCAAACCAAACTTTGCCAGTGGAATGATGCATGCGATGACATATCCTCTAAGTTAAGAAAACTGAAAGTTACAGTGCCTCTCATATCTCGTGCACACTAAAGATGATCAACTTAACTTTTTATAACAGCAGCAGCTACATGGTACTAACATAGTATCTGCTACTAATAGATTAAGTCAAAAGACATGCACAAAACCGCACAGACGTATTTATCAACAAAGTTCCATAAACTATCATTTCTTCATATTGCACCTAAACCCTGTACTAGTAAATTGTATCAACTCCTATTAAAAAAACAAAAGTAAATTGTAAAAACTCAGTATATCATGAAGAAGAAATAAAAGATGACAATATGGACGCATGTTAGGGGAGAGAAGTCAGAAGGATACTGGAAAACGTAAGGGCCGGTTTCGACTGACATCCTTGAAGGCTCATTTTGACCTCTTGACAAGTTCTTGAATAGGGCCTTGACTTGTTGTTTGTAGAATTCCGAGTCTTGTATATCACGGCCATCATCCAGTCCCTCTGCTAGTGGAAGACCGTCAGTAACACGAGCGATCATTGTCAGCTTCACCATCTTCACTTCACAACTTCCCAGCAATGCGAAAATGACTGCGATATGTTAATCGTCAAATCACAGATCCAGGAGACGTTGGACAAACCAAACTACTCAGAAATGCAATGATAATATCCCCAAATTGCCAGATAGCCTTACAATTTCTATCCATCTGCATATGAAAAAGATCTAATCCCGCAAAAAATAACTACTTTACGGTTGATCTAATCCATATCTAGCATAGTTAATTCCCAAAACATACCCAATTTTGCTTTTTTATGATTAATTGGGGTTTGCATACAAAAATCATAAACACCCACTTCTCAAATTCCAGTTGATCGATCACAAGGCATCAAAGATCAGACTCAACCCTTCAACCATCTAAAACCATTCGTCCCTAAAAAAACCCCAATACACCAATTTTACACAAGTTCTCTTCAATCATCACAAATGCCGAAAATTCCAAAAACTTTTCGATAAATCTGAGAAATTAGACGAGAAATCTGAACAATTGAACATTTGTACAGCACAGAACACGTACCTGCTTATAGCATTGACCTGAGGAACGGTGAGGACGATGGTGCAATCTGAGGCAGAAGAATTCGAAGCTGTGAAGAAGGGCTTGGCGAGGACCAAAAGGAGAAAACGAGGGTTGGTCTTTGAGTTTAATCTGCGATCTCCTGCGGTATAGGTGTTGTACGTGAAGAGCAAAGCTTGAAATTTCCAAGGTACAACATCTAAATGCAGTCGGGCTCGTGAACGACAACGCGTCGGGCCGCCCATTTAAATAACGCTGTCGGTCAATAGTTCACTTTACGACGAACCGTTGAGTGTTTACAAAATAAATGGGCCGACCGGAGTCCGCAATTAACAGGCCTGACTCGCTGACCCAATTAATTTACAATAAACAAATAATTAATTAAATAAAAAAGAAATTCCTAATCAATAAAAACAAATAATTAAAGTATCAAGAATAGTTCACTGTTCTTCTTTACTAGGCTTTATAACTTTCTTAGGAATGAGTGCAGGCCGGTGATTATTTTGAAGTGTCAATAATAATTTTGTGTTATTTTTTTATTATTAATTTGAAATTAAATATTTTAGTATTTTTCAATATTTAATTCAAGGACTCACCTTGGCTTAAGGTTCTAGTATAGATGGTCGAGATTAACAATATGCAAAATAATTTTTTTAATTGTCTTACTTGTAAAAATATAGTAAAAAAAAAGCTATAATATCACCCATTTCAATCGAAATTAAATTTTTTATAAATTTAATAAATTTTTTATATAAATGATATTGGGGGATTCGAACAACTTCTCGGCAAAGGGACAACTACTTCTAATTACTTGAGCTATAAATTTCTTGTTACAAATTCAATGACTTTTTCATATTGAAATTAGAAACTTTTGTGTGATTTATAAAGAGTGGTGATTTCCCCACTCCTTTTTCTCATATTTTATTAAATCATTGTATTTTTCACAAATAGTTAAATTTTAAAATTAAAAAAAAAGAACAAAAAGGCACACTCAGGTGAAAAGCCCAAAACAACGGTCGATATTTAATGGAGCCGGTAGCAAAAAAGGCTCACCTTTCCAATATTCCCTCCCTCCAAAAAAAAAAAAAGGCACAAACTGCAATATTCCATCGTCTTCTTTATAGATCAATAAACTTCCTTTTCATTTCCTAACTTCACTTCTCAGGCGTTTCCTTTCGTTTCTTCCAAAACCAAGCGTAATTTTCCCGCCAAGTATATCAGCAAAGAGCCAGCTAGGTCTGAGGAGACTCCATGGACAACCGTGGTCAGGCTCGAGGAAGCCCTCGAGGCGGAGGGTTCTCCGCGGATCTTGGTCAAGCTCGAGGAAGCCCTCGAGGCGGAGGGTTCTTCGTGAATCGTGGTCAAGCTCGAGGAAACCCTCGAGGCGGAAGATTCTCCTCGAATCGTGGTCAAGCTAGAGGAAACCCCCGAGGTGACCGACATTCTCCACGCACCGGCGGCCACCCTCCCCTTCCCAACGGCCCTGTAACTTTATCACCACCCCTCTTTTCTGTATTTCCTCTTATATATTTACAATACCTGTTTTTTTGGGCGTCTTTCCATCTTTTCTTTTACATGGGAATTCTTTTGCTCTGTCATTAAATTCAAGTGAAAGACTCCTCTTACCTGCATCATGTGCTTTGTATAACAGTGCATTCAATTTTTGGCTTTAGGGTTTTTGAAATAATATGGAATGTAACGTGTGCGCTGGTTGAAAAGTTTGGAACTTTTTGTTTATTTGCGCTTTGAAATGGTTTGGGTTATGGGTTTTGTTTAGAATGTGTTGTAGAAATTGGGTGTGAGTAAGAGAAATTTCAAGCCTCTGATGGTCCATGACTTACAAGTGGATATTCGTGCTTCTCTATGCAGTCACTTGTGCTCCGCAAATTTGGTGTCATTCTTGTTTTTTATTTATTAAACGTATTAAATGACTCTTTGCAGCATGCATGGAAAAGTGATGAGAAGAAAGTTTAATGTTCATCGTTTACATGAATTATATGACTTTTATTATTTTATTGCATGTCTTAATTAATCTTGAACATGATTGTGGAGTTCAGTTGATTGACTGGTTTTTATTCACACTGATCACATAAACAGCAGGCCGGAGCTGGAACTCGTGGACCGTTTTCTAATGATTGTCCTGGTAGCAAGGAGTCCTGGTCTAACAGTGAAATGGAAAGTCCCCAGCAAATGTCACCGAGTAGCTTCTCATATCATTCTGAGCATAAGTCTGCCTTCAGTAATTCACATCGGCATAAATGGCATCCGTCTGGAACTAAAGACACACTTCCCCGTGTTGAGAGTTTGAAAGAGGGACATGAATCAACTGAGTCTGCGAGCGTTAGACCAAAAGATTTAAAGAACTCAGTTGTTCCAGATTCAAGCCATGAAGGAGATTTTCCTTTGGGGGTAGAGAGAATGCATTTTGGGGTAGATATTCCATTCCACCCTTCTCTGAATCATTCTGGGAATTTACATTTTGGGGTAGGGAGAATGCATATAGGAGAAACCCTGAGCGATATGACAGGGTATGGTGAAACTTCTCTTGCCTCCAAATCTGAAGCCAGCAGTGGGGCTTTGCCTATTAACAGTTCTGTAAATATAACCGGCCATCGGAACCCAGAGCTTTCTGAACACTCGGCTTTTGATTTATGCCCAACCAAAGCTGGGAGTGGTGTTACCCTAAAGCCTCCTCTGCTAGTACAGAATAGAGAAAGGCGGAATGAAATCAAGCGCTCCATGGAACAGCAAAATGGTAGTGTTTTAGAGTCTGGAATGGTTCTTTTAAAGGGTTACCTTTCCCTTAGTGACCAGGTGCTGCTTTGTGCTCTTTTACTATCTCTATTTGCTGTGATAACTGATTAGTTTTCATTGTTAATCATTCCCCCTTGATAACTACATTGATCTTGAACTCTCATTAGTAAAGTAATAAAGCTTTTTGGAGGAGCGTTCTTTCCCTGTGGATTATCTGTACAACATAACTGTTACTTTCACTGTCTGAATAGCACTTGAAAACTGTAGAGCACCTGAGCTTTCTTTCCCTGTGGATTATAAGTTGACTAATCGCTGGATTTTCTGTGTTTTATGTCTTCTAGATCAATATAGTGAAGCAATGCCGAGCCTTGGGTTTGGGTCCTGGAGGTTTCTACGAACCTGGTTACCGTGATGGAGCAAAGTTGAATTTGAAGATGATGTGCCTTGGTAAGAATTGGGACCCTGAGAAGAGTAGCTATGGAGATCACCGACCTATTGATGGTGCTAAACCGCCCAGTATTCCTGTTGAATTCTTTCGGTTGGTTAAAAGTTCAATCGAAGAATCCCATTCCCTTATAAGAAAAGATTCTAAAGTTAGCAATTCCGAAAGCATACTTCCATGGATGTCCCCAGACATTTGTCTAGTGAATTTTTACTCATCATCTGGGCGACTTGGTCTTCATCAGGTTTGTCATGAAAGAGCCTTAGCCATATTATCTGAGTGGTTGAATGCTAAACAGTTATTTTTCTCAGCTATCTTTTCAAATTTTTTTTCTTCCGAAGTTAATATAATGAATGTTCCTCCCTCCCTCCTTCCCGTTTGATAGAACTTTATTAAGCATCACATCTCTGACTGTCAGCCTTTATTAAGCATGCTTCTTCTATGTTGTATGATAGTAATAGCTTCCAACTTCTTCGGCTTCACAGTATTCTTCTACACTTTTATTTAATACTTTGAACTGCATTACATTGATCAACAGCTGCAGCACCACTTCCAAATCCTCCATAAGCAAAATACAACTATTCTTAAACCCATCACTCACATGCGGATTCTTTAGAAGACTCTAGAAAACTTTCCCATATAACCAAATTTGTCCCATATTATTTTGTGACTCTTAAAAAACTTAATCGCTTCTAGATTGTCTGCACCTCATTATCCTGAATTTAAGCATGAGTGTTTTAACTTCGTGATAACATCTTATGACCATGCTTCCTACAGGATCGTGATGAAAGTGCACAAAGTCTCGATAAAGGTTTACCGGTTGTCTCCTTTTCTATTGGAGATACTGCAGAATTCTTGTACGGCAATCAAAGGGACGTTGAGAGGGCAAATAAGGTTTTACTGGAATCTGGAGATGTTTTGATATTTGGTGGAAAATCAAGACGTGTCTTTCATGGTGTAGCGTCTATACAGCCAAATACTGCTTCTAAGACCCTACTGGAAAAAACAAATATCCGGCCTGGCCGTCTGAATCTTACTTTTAGACAGTATTGAAAACCCTGTGTTTGTGTATATGTCGTTGCAATTCAGAACTTTCGTTTTGGAACTAGTTCATTCAGTTTATTCAGATGGGGCGTAAGGGAAACTTTTTGGGAAACTGGGTGTGATGAATTAAAAAAAGGGTGTAAGAGTAATGCTACACTTACCATATTTTCATCCCACATTTCTATACAACATGATGTGGCATATACATATCATATGTCACATCAATTAAATCAATGAAGTGTATTTTAATAAAGAAAGTTCAATGAATGAAAGAAATATATATTTAAAAAAACTATTTTTTTCAGTCCGGGGGTTTTTCCACTAGCCTTGTAAATATGGACTTAGCCAAGTTGGTTAAAGCAGTGTGTTCTCTACTTTACACCTGAGTTCAAATTCCTCTCCTCGTAGTTTAGATTACTTTATTGTAGATTATTACTTGTATAAGAATAAAAATAAAAATGATGGTTTTTCACTAGCCTTAATTATTGTCCATGGATTGTGCCTGGGCATGGTGGGTGGTCTGCCATAGCCAAGGGTCTACTTTAAGTTGGCACTTCGGTTGTACTAGATCCCATTTGTTTTTGGCAGCCAAACTTCACCGGTTACTCAAGCAAACTTGTGTTGGTCCAACTTCGGTTCAACATTCCTCTCTGGCTTCGCTTAAAGAACAATAAAATAAATGCTTATTTTAGAAGCAAAAGCCACAAGAGCAACAACCCTACCACCAACAAACTCTTTCTTACATATAAAAATCCTTTATAAATCACTCACATGTGTATCCCATTATCACCATGCATCTTATTCAGATTTTGTTAACCATGCTTTTATTCTTATAGCAATAAAAGTGCTCAACCAATGTTCATCTTCATTCAGCCACCAGTATGCAGAGGTGGAGGATAGGGAGAATGAGCCATGCTGGAGAAGCAGGGCACATGCTAGATATATCAGCTTCAATGTTCTGAGAATTTTGCATGTGCTCTAGCTCTCCAGCTTGGACTCTCTCCCTTTCAGGGACAAGATTGAAGGCAATGATAAAGGTCAGTTTCTTTGTAGCTCATACTGTAACTCATTTAACCGACGGTAATGTCGATCGAGCTGATTCTACTTCTGCAATGCTGCTCCCCTAAGATCATCTAAGTGCTACACAGTCTTGCCACTTTTCATTGAACCAGATGATCATTCACAAATTGAGTACAAAATCTCATCAGTTTATTTTGATGCAGACCTTCAATTGCCTTATTATTTTTATACACAATGAACATCCATAAATAATTTCATCATCCACAAGTTAAATGAAAATGCTTGGCTCAAATCACCTTAGTTGGAAATCAACACCACCTTAAATTAAATGTAATAAGTTATTCAAATATACCAGAGGCCAATCAAAATTCTAAAATCACCCTTTTGGCTGGATCAACCACGGTCAGATCTGTTTTCTAGAGCTGAAGCAGCAGACTCCACATGAACAAGTAAACAAGCATATACTTTTTGTTTTAACCTGTCAACATTCTCCACCAATCCATTGTTCCCCGAGTTTATATTGTTCTTCAGTTTATCCAACCACTCATTTGCTTTCTTAAGCTGTGATAATGTCACAGCAATATGATTGTCTGGCTCATTGCGTCGCCCGGCACTGTCCTTACCTTTCTTCTCTTGGGGTTTCAGATGAAAGCCAGTATCCAATGCTTCCTCCAAGAATTTCAAAAACCAAGATCTTGTTTCATTTATGAGAATTTCTTTCAGCTCTGCTATCTCTTTTGCACTATCTCCTTTAGCCCATTCTAGTTTTTCTGCTCCACTTAACTCAGCAGGGGCCTTTGGAGACTTCAATGTACTTTTACCATGAATTAGACCTGTCCTTTTGCTTAACTTTTCAACATCTGGAGGCATTAATTGTTTTGTAGTTAAAGGAATTGAATTATCCTTCAATGCAGCTGCAATGTTTGGTTGGTCAATGAGCTGGTGGAGTATGAAAAACTTGTTGAGAGGAAGGTGGGGATTGTCTGGTGAGGCAGATGAACATAGATCGGCAAACATGCTGAAAGAAAAGATTTAAGAAATAAGTTTCACAGAATGTGATTATAGATGTAAGATATTGACATGGATTCTTTTAATAGATATTATAGTTACCTGAGACATTTGACAAGAGTTGCAGCTGTAGATGCTTCTTTTTGAGCTTCTGCTGCTACCAAAGAAGCTAAATTTCTCCTCCTGAGCATTCCCTTGTAAAATTTTAACGAAAGATAAGAAAGAAGTGTCACATTGCAACAGTATAATGGATGCGAGAATTAGTGAGATTTTTCTATTCAAGATACTGTTGCCTAGCTAACATCAATCTAATTCAATGAAAATGCCTTTTAGTTTTTATTGTTGCCTTCAATTGAATGCATGCTCAATTGGTCATGATCTGAGTATGAACTCAATAAAGTACTGATATCTGTTCAGAATTTAGCATTATCAAAATAATACAGTTGTTCAACAAAAATGCCAAACCTTTTTCCATATTGGCTGTTTGGACTGATGGAACAGTAGCCATAACTTAAGTTTCGGACATGTTAAACTGAAAAGGAAAGAAATGCGAAGGAAACAAGGAAAGGTACCTTTCCAAGCTTCAAAAAGTTAGCCGGCAGACAAGCCCACAAAACAGCCTCTGGTGACTGGCTTTTATCTTTTCGGCTTGACAAACAATTAGAGTTCATGTTTTCATGTTTGTTTGAAGTTCGTTTTGCAGAAGTGCTTCTATAAGGCGCAGCAGTCTCCTTGGTGTTAGATACGACTGAGTCCAGCTTTGATGAAAGTGCACCAGGTCGATTATGGGAAGGAGTTATTGAGCGTGCCTGTAACACTAGAACAAATGATCATGTTACAAAACTGTTATTTGATTACATAAAAGAGAACCATCTACTTATTTGTTTGTTTCAAATAAAAGGATTATATTCTCAGTTGCATCATTTGATGTAGGGATCCAGGAAAAGGTTCTAAAGATCCAAGAAAAATTTGTGTACTGCACAATAACTTTGTTCCAATTTATTGAATCTTGTTCTTGTTGTATGTTAAGTGTGTTAAGATTTCAGAGGGACGGACCATTGGCCCACCACTAACAACATCGATATTATCCCCAACTTAACCACCTGTTTAGCAAGTGTAGGGTTTTATACAAAAGGCCTCGATGTTATTAGGAGTGGAACCATTTATTATATGGGACTTTCTATTTTGTTAAGTTTCCGATGTGGGACTCGTGTATTCTTCAACAATGTGTTGCCTAACACTCCTATATGTGTAACATTGCCTGAATGCTTTAGGACTTGAAACAGAGAAAAAGCAACAATCTCATTTGCTTTTATTTTGTCATCACTATGGCATCTAATTTAAACAGATCATCCTACCCGTCTTAAAAATGGAAATTATGTTTAGCGCAAATCGTACCTGACCATTATGCTCTTGCTGCTTGCCTTTTAACATGGAAACCTTCTTAGCACCACTCTCATTGTCATGGTTCTTCCCACCTCCATTAGAATCTGGCCCGCTAGCTTTTGAATTTGATGTCAAAACACCTTGCATATACCTAGATGCAACAGCTGCCTTTTCCTCTTTAATAACAAACGTTTGTCTTGAGTTTTCATCTTTTGCGTCGAAGGACTCCCTCGATTTCAAACTATTGCTGCCTTGCTGATCAGCTTGAACTGGACTCTCTGATGGCTCTAACATTTGCATCAAATCCTTTGGGTTCCCCACGAAAGGGTGTCGTCCTGGAACTGGTCTGACCCCAATAAGTATAGGAACTGGTGTTCCTGCCTCCATTCTATCAACATAGAAAAACTGACCAAGCTGCAACTTGTTATTCAATATAATCTCATTGTCTTCCTTGGACAGTGAGACATAAGTGGAATGAGAAGAATCCGACACTTTTATGAAGAAGCCTTGGTTTGGCCACAGCTCTGAGCCATTTAAGGCAGGCACAATGCTGATCACTTGAAGCAGGACAGATCGATATTCTCCACGAACCTTTACGTTGGAGTTAATGCTCTGAAGGAGCTTTAGTAGAACTCCTGGTGTAAGGGAGGCCATTGCTTTTTCTTCTTGTTCTGGTAAATCCAAATTTGAGAAAGTCTACCTGGATGATGATGCACTGGAATTCATTTCATGGTACTATTCACTTCAGATACCGTTTTGCTAAGCAAAAACCATATCCATATGCAACAAGAATCACAGACAGGCAACCTATAATAAAGTCCTGCAATTTTTCTTTTTTATTGGTTTTTGGCAACACAATGTCTTAACAAGAAAAGGCATTGAAAAGACACAAACTAATGAACATTGCATATTAAAACTCAAACAAAAAGAATCAAGAAAACAAAAATTCTGAGGTAAATTTCATTGAAGAAAACTAAGCTAGCACCAGTCACAATATTATGAAATTCTTGCTTTTCTGAAGAAATTGTGTAAGCTGTATAAGCTGTATGCATCAAAATGATGGAAATTATGCAATAACATGAATGACTAGACATGCTAAGAATTAGAGAGATGGCGAATACCTGGTGAAATATGGAGCACAAAGATCCAAGAAGGTTGAACTAGAAAGATAGAACAAGGTGGGGAAGGAATCTTGCAGAGAGATGAAGCATAGAATACAACTTGAGAACCAAACAGTGTTTGATAAGTGGCGGCATTTGGCTTGACCAAAAGAACATCTTTAAGCCTTAGCTTTGCATGAAAGGCACGTAACCATCAGCGTCTCTTGGCTTCAAAGCCAAGTGACAATGCATACATGTGAGAATTTTATGGCCTTTTTATGTGATGTGCAATGATTATAAAAGGGGCTACTCACCATTAATTGAGATTATTGTGATTGATCAACCTTTTTTCTTATAATTTGCTTCTTCGTAATTAGGTCGTGGGTCTCTTTGTGGATACTTAAGGACCTTTCCAATGTTTTGATCAGAAATTGTACTTCAATCGAGCAGCCTCCTAAAAGGAATTGACCAGAATTTGTAAATGTGAATCATATTAAACGCACTCATTAGGCATACCTACTTTGGGTAAACATAAGGCATCTCTTAATCAAGGACATTAAATATCACATTCAACTTATCAGTTGGTTCTACTTCGCTAGAATATATTCTAGGAGTAAATCCCATACCTGTGTGTTTGTGAAAATCGAAGGTTCAAGACTAAGAAAAGAGAGTTACCCTTATTGTGTAACTCAAAATACATGTCATTCGGCAAGAAACTTGTATCTCAAGTGATTAAAAGCATTCACTCTTGCACTCGAGGTAATGTGATTGATTCCCCCCTCTTGTATAAAAATAATAATTTTGGCAAAAAAAAAAATATATACCTTTGTCATTTGGTTTACCAACTAGCCCAAACAAGCAAAGAATAAAATGCTTTGCAAAGTCAAAACTCACCATTTCGATGTATGTTGGTACATCAATTCCAATCTCTAATATCACAAAATAATGGAAGGGGACCAAACGATATTAAAATGGACTCTTCTCTATAACTACAAGCAACTGCTAATTGATTTCCCCCATCGGAAAATCAAAGGGCAAGCCAACAATTTTCTTTACATACAATTTGAATCTAAGATCTAGCAACTTTAATAGGTACATATTTATATGATTAAAATGCATTGGCTTCAGTTTCTGCACGCACCAAGCTAGCATACACACCATTGAGATGAGAAGCCATAAGTGCATCATGGCTTCCATATTCTGTGATGGCACCATTGCTCATAACTGCTATCATATCAGCCTCTCTGATCGTCGAAAGCCGGTGAGCCACTATGATGGTTGTAGCCCTTTTGGAAATCTTCCTAAGTGCATCTTGTATGTGTCTCTCTGATTCCAAATCCAATGCACTACTTGCTTCATCTAGCAGCAATATCTTTGATCTCTTCAGTATAGCCCTTGCTATCGCAATCCTTTGTTTCTGGCCCCCTGATAGCTGGGCTCCACTCTCACCAACCTATATATGACAGGAAAAATATTAGAAAAAGAAACAACAACAAAAAATGGTCAAATGAAGATGAACAATTTGGGTGATACATATGCATCATAGAACAATACCTGAGTTTCATAGCCTTGAGGGAGGCTACTGATGAAATTGTGAATATAAGCTTCCCTTGCAGCATCTTCTATTTCAGCCCATGAAGCATTTGGGTTACCAAAAGCAATGTTCTCTCTTATAGTGCCGGAAAACAATGTAGGCTCTTGACCCACTAGGGCTATCTGCTTTCTCAACCACTTCACGTTAATATCTCTCAAATCCACTCCTCCCATCATCACCTTCCCTTGAATTGGATCATAAAACCTTTGTATTAACCATATAACTGTTGATTTTCCTGACCCACTTCCACCCGCCAATGCCACAGTGCTACCACCTTTGATCTTCAAACAAAAGTCACTCAACACAGTCACATCTGGCCTAGATGGGTATGCAAATGTGACCATTTTGAACTGAATATCCAATGGTTTCGACCGGTCGAGTTTCTTATCTTTGTCTCTGTTGCTACTGCCAATTAATGGCCTACGTGAAATGATATCAAAAACTGCTGGAATTGCTGTTGCAGCCATGGATGTGTCTGGTGCAAGACCGGCTAATTGTCCAACAGAAAATGAACTCAAAACAAGAATGAGAAAAATTTTGTATACCTCACCGAAGTTTGCTTTGCCTTCTTTGATAAGGTAAGCACCAAACAACAGAGTTACGGTGTATGCTCCATACATAACACCTTGAGAGAACCCCAGTGCTAGGCCCATGATTTGTGACCTTCTCACTGATTTGCTCTTTGGACCTGATAAAGCTTTTTCAAAGGACTCAACCAACTGCTCTTGAGCAGAAAATGTTGTGACTGTCCTTATGTTTGAAACTGCACCAGAGGCGATATTGCTAGCTTTGGCATAAGCTTCATTGTCAAGTTTTGGTCCTAAATTTATAATCAAGCTTAAGTAACTTGCACCAAGAGTCAAAGGAGTGAGAGCAGCAGCCAAAATAGCTAGCCTCCACTCAAGGTAAACACATAGACCAAGTCCCACCATACCTGAACTCAAACCCATTAACAAGACTGATAATCGATCAATGTGGACTGATCGAAAACTGACAGAATCAATTGAGAGCCGTGAGACCAGTACTGCTTTGGAGTTTTCTTCAGAATCAAACCAACCAGGTTCTTGTTTTAGTATGGAACGAAATAGGAGATTTCTCACTCTCATTGTGAGTTTTGTTCCAGCCCAGCCACACAAGCCTTGCTGTCCTGTCATAAAGACTATGTTCCCAAAGCCAAGTCCAACAAGTACTAAACAAAGGGGTTCAATGTTTCTTTTAATCTTGGATGGGTCTTTACCAAAATATATTTCAAGGGCTACGCCGAGAAGAAAAGGAAAAATAGACAAAATTGCACCTGCATGCATACCCAAGATTAATCCAAATAAAAGCATTGGAAGCTCTGGTCTCAGTAACAACCATATATCGGAAAGTCGAACTTTTCTTGGTTTTGGTTTTTGGACCTCTTTCTCCTCTATTTGGGTTTTCCCTTGGGTACGGTTTGATCTTGACGCATCATGAATTGATTTATCAGGCACCAAAAGCTGAGTGCCTTTTTCAGTATCATTTTGCTTTGACAAAGGTTTTGTTACTCCATCAGCAGCAAGCTCAACAAGGCTATAGTAGGCCCCAGCTTTTTCCATGAGCTGGCGGTGATTGCCAATCTCAATGACAGAGCCAGAGTCAAGAACAACAATGGTATGAGAATTTCTTACTGTTGATAGCCTGTGAGCAATTACAATCGCCGTTCGGCCTGAGGAGATCTTGTCAATAGCCTGTTGGACTACAGACTCAGATTCAGGGTCTAAGGCACTGGTAGGTTCATCCAAGAGAAGGATTCTAGGGTCTTTGATCATAGCTCGAGCCAATGCGATTCTTTGTTTCTGACCTCCTGAAAGAAGTGCTCCTCTGTCTCCAACCTGCCAAATGACATTTGAAATGAATAAGCATTAGACCATAAGTACATAATCATTGATGTAAACATTTACATGTGTGTGCGCACGTGTATAAACGTCCTCCTGCCAGACAAGCCGGTACATGTTTTTCCCTCTGTCAGTCTGGATCACTAATTAGGTGAATTCTTGTTTGAATGTATGGTCCAAATTCACAGTTTGGAAACATAGCATGCTAGATATCTGGCAAAAGAACGTTGCCATGCATATTCTAAACACTACTCCCGTCAGTATACTAAGGATCTCCCCATCAAGAGAACAGTAAGAATGCTTTTGTAACTGAACCTGAGTTTCGTAGCCTTGTGGAAGGCCAGAGATGAAGCTGTGAGCATTGGCAGCAATGCAGGCAGAAATTGCTTCCTTCTTGGTGGCATTCTCCTTTCCCATCAGTACATTTTCTAATATGCTTGTGGCAAAGAGCACTGGCTCCTGGCCAACCATACCTATCTGATCTCTTAGCCACTTGACCTGCAGCGTCCTTAAATCATGACCATCTAATGTAACAATACCTGCAAAACAAAGATTTGAAAACAAAATTAGAGCAGGAACTCAAGTTATTCCAACTTATCATAAATTGCCTTTTTATATTGTTAAACCATAAGCTTATGATACCTTGGTTAGGGTCATAGAACCTCTCTATAAGAGCAAAAATGGTGGACTTTCCACCTCCGCTAGAACCAACAAGTGCTAGTGTCTTCGAAGATGGAATAACCAGATTAAGAGAATGAAGAATTGGAGCATTAAGACGAGACGGGTATGAGAAAGAAACGCCTTTAAATTCAATCCTTCCTCGAGCCTTTGGCAGGGTCCTGCCTACTGAGCTGTAGGGATCTATCTCTGGAACTCTATCTATAATTTCAAAAACCCGGCTTGCTGCTACCGTGCCTTGTGAAAACTGAGCAAAGTATGACAGTGACAATGCCAAGCCCCTATGAAAATTTAGTCACATGTAAAATGTGTCAAGAAGATAGAAAAGGTCATGTACAATTAGTTTCATGTATCTCTTTGCACAAAAATTTCTGAAATTTCTTAACCACCACAAAGACAAGCTTATTACCTTCCCCCAACATTGACACCAAAGAAACAAGCAATGGCATCGCCTCCAGCTATCTCTCCCCTTGCAACCAAAACACCACCATACCAGAAAGCCAATGCCCACGTTGAATAAGTAACCAGATAGATAACTCCCACTCCTGCACCCTTAGCAAAGCCAATCCTTGCTCCCAAAGGCACCAAATCGGCCAATAAATTAGCGTATCTTTCAGCCAAATTATCCTCCGCAACAAAGGAAAATACGGTTCTGATTGAACTGATAGCTTGCTCAGCTACACTACCGGCCTTCCTGTAAGAAACCTTTGAAAAATGCACCAGAAAAGAATAAAAAAGATGCTAATGTGTTGATAAAAATTAAGATCAAGTTTATAATATGCTTGGTTATGTCATTCTCTATTTGTTTTTACCTCTTCTTTTGTAGTTAGGCCAACATAAACAGCCTTGTATGCAATACCACAGAACATCATCAGTGGTATGACTGAGAAGACTACTAGAGATAATTTCCTTGACCTTATAAATCCAACTGCGTATCCACATATGAAAGTGCATATGTGGTGAATGAAATGTGCCATCTGCAGTTACATAGAAAGCTCAAAATGTATCAATGCTAGCTGATTCTCAATATACAAGAACAGAACAATAATGACTATTTGTTACGTAATCGTAAAATTTTATTCAAGGCAAATTTATAAAAGAAAATAGTAGACCTTCTCTCCCAAAACTTCTTGAATTTGAGCAACATCACTGGAAATTCCGTGCATAATATCACCGGCAGCGACTTCTGTATCGAAAAAGCTTATGTCTTGCCGTAGAACTGCTCTTAGATATTCTCTTCTCATTCTTTGAGCAGATCTCTCTCCCATCATTCTCCAGCAAGTGATCTCTGCAATTTAGTGATAAAAAAAATACTGTTGGTATGTATTCATATGGGCTTTGACAAAATTCCATATGTTACAAACATCTAGACACAAAGGAAAACCAAAATAATTCAAAAGGAAACAAAGAGGAAAAAGGAAATGTTCATCATGATGTATGCCCATCTTACCCATGTATGCTCCAACTACCACTATTGCAGCTAGTCCAGCCATGTACAGGCATATCTGAAATTAGATTCAAAAGAAAATTAGCTTCCATTATTAATCCAAACCAAATATAACCTACAGTAAATATTCAAAAACCATGGTAAGAAAAAGCTTACCAACAGTGAAGAAAATGTCATAATCTAAACATAGAAAATAAAACATATGAGCATGATCTATCTTTTCTTGTGTAAAAATATCTTTACATACATACCATCTCTACATCCTTCATCATCAGAGTCTTGTCAGCGTATGTTGATTCTTTAGCAATCTTGTTCACAAACTGTCCAAAAAGAAGAGAGTACCAAGGAAGAGACCCTCCATTGATGAGAGCACCCACACAACCCAAAAAAACAAGAACCAAATCCCATTTTGTTGAATACTTGAACAAGCTAAGCAACCCTACTTGCTTTGGTGGCACTGCATCCTCCTCATCCTCACCATCCTCATCAAAAACAGAACCTTGATCACTGTCACCGTACCGGTCATCCCCATCGTTACGACGATTAGTAACCGTTGATTGCCATGCATGATCATCATAACCATGCTGATGATGATCATGCCCTGCATGTGACAACCCATGACCATAGCCACCATGTCCTATAATTTTTGATGTGCCATAAAAATGACCACCTGGGTCATGACCCAAATTATGTGACAACCCATGACCCAAAACTTCAGATTTATCATCATCATCATAATGACCAAGCGCATCTCTTTTAGCCAAAGGACCACTATAATTCCCACTTCCCAGCTCCTTAATCTTCTCCAATTTTGGGGACTTTTTATAATTAGCATTGTAATTACTCTTCCCAAAAACCAAAGAACTCTCACTGTTATTATAGTTATTGCCATCTCTAGGAGGAGCAACATAGCTTCGAAGCTCAAGCCTGCCATCAGGGGTAGAATCGTAATTTGGGTTATTTTGGGCAGAGCTTCTAAACCCAGTAGTGGTTCTTGAGAGGTAGTAGTAATTGGCTGAGCGGCGAACTATTTGGGCCTCTGTGGAGGTGCTGGTGGCGGCCCATGGGCTCAGAGCTGAGCCCAAGTTTCGAGTGTCACTCCACCCAGTGGGCTCAAACTGCCACGAAATCTCGCTCTGCCACGACACGTCGTTGTCCGCCGCAAACGGCGTCGTTGGGCGGGACCTCCGGCTGTTGGGTGTTCGGTTTCGGGTTGACCGGGAGTAGGAGCTGACGGGCGTGGGGTGACGTGGATGGCGGTGGCTGGAGGAGGACTGTTCAAATTCAAAGGAGGAGTCTATGCCAGCCATGATTGTGGGAGTGTTTGGTTGGAGGGAAAATTATGTGGGAAAGTGTGGGAAAGTGAGGGGGAAAGGAAGGAAAATGAAAAGAAGAGTTTTCTCCCAACCTTGTGGGTATTGTTGCTTGCCAGTTGGAGGAATTTTGTAAATGGTGAGTAGGAGGGAGGCTTTAGCTATTTGTGCAAGGATGGTGGCTGTTGTCCAGATGTGTCTTGTTGGTTTTTATTAAGCAGTCAAAGACTTCGTTGAATCCGTCTGTTTTTCAGTGAAATCAATATGCTATTGTTCATCTTATATGGACCAATATTTAAAGAGATTTTCTATTTAAACCTCACACTTCTCTTAGTTCACCCCATGTTTTAAGTTCACCCCAACTTTTAATTTAAATTTTCACAATTTCTAAGAAAACCTCACTATCTTCCCAAACTACCCTTAAATACACCCCAAACTAAAAAAATAAAAACTAAAAGAGATTTTTTATTTAAATCCCACAATTTTCTTTGTTCTCAACCAAAAAAAAACACAAACAAATGAAACCACAAATCAGAAATTTAATATTTTCTAGAGAAAGAGAACAACTTTACCTCTCTCCAAGAACTGTAACTGAAATTCTAACACTTTGGTATTTTTGAGTTGAGAGAGAGAGAGAGAGAGAGAGTTTGTAAACATGAAGTTGGAAGGAGGTTTTTAAAACTTAATATAAAGAGTGGTGGGGTGTGTGTATAGATGTACTAGGGTTAATTATTAAGTTGAATGACCTTTTTTGTCTTTTTATACAATAATAAAACTTACAGCTTAATTATTTAAGTATTGGGGTGAACAAAGAGAAGTGCGGGGTTTAAATAGAAAATCTCATATTTAAATTCTTGTAAAGATAGATCACTATTTTCCATTGTTTTCTAGTTTTAAAGTTAAAAAATTTACAGCGCATGTTAATGGTTTATTTATTAAAAATTTACGGCGCGTGTCAATGATTTATCTAGAATTTAGTGACACACAGTTTTTACTTGATTATTTTATTATAATTCTGAGTTCAAATCTTATGAACGACGAAGTATTTCGATCAACTGTTAATTAACACATTGGTATAAATGAAATGTCATGTAGAAATCCTGTAATCTACTCTTCTTTTGTTGAGGAAAACATCATAGCATATCTAGGTTGGAATGAACTACTCTCAATAACATGAAATCAAAGTACAAAAATGCATGCATTACTGTGCTGCTCTATCAAAAAATATTTCCCAGTTGATTTTCTTTTCTTTCTTTTAACCAATCATTTTGGATTTTATATCTGTCCTTTACATATATAACAACTTGTACGATTATAATAGGACAAGCACTTCGTTCGGATCTAGCTAAGAAAACACATCATCTATTATGTCATGGAGCCTCATTTCGTACTTGAAAACATCATGCAGGCCAAATCCAGGCCGGCTGATATATTAAGGAGGTTATTAAGTGACTAATATTTATTTATTGACTTTTAGGAAAACCCTAATGACATGCATTGTCTGTTGTAATCTGACTGACGTTCTTGGTCGGTTGCTTTGTTGATGTTTTCTCAACTGCAAACAAAGCTACAAACCGAAGAGTCTTTCTTTGGTTCCCTCTTTCACATGTCATCAATCTCAACTTGTAACAAAGTTCCTCCTCCAACTGTCATTAGCTCATGATTTACAAATTGTTATTTCCATTGTTGGTCGGTTTCTGAATGAATCCCATCACTACCAGCCGAACCTCTATTTTGATCGGCTAATTGGGTTTAACCCAGTGAAAAATAACCTTGACTTGCAAATTAGAGATCTCAAATTCAATTCGAACCTTGGCACATTGTGTGTAAGAAAATCTCTATGCATAATCCTACACACACAAAACTATTAAATAGAGAGGATTCGGACTTGGGGGTCTCGGACTTAACAGCTAGAGCCACAATCTCCCACTAAATAATCTAAATCTTAGAACCTCAAAAATATTTATAAACATAACTTGAGCAGCAATATCATCCAATATTGGTTTCTTTTAGCAGATATTAATTGCATATAAGTTGCTAGCTTTCAAATCTGAGTTCATCCCATAATTAAAGTTTAAAGTTTATTTCAAAATTTTAAAGTTTAACTAAAAGAAAACAGAACTGCCTTTGAAAAGATAATTCAAATAACTATAATAGGCAGTATATGCTAGCTGGAGACAAGTAGAGTCGCCCTACAAAGGCAAAATGACAGTGGAGCAATAGGGAGACGGCGCAACAACACAAAAATGGTCGTGTCTTACAAGTTATTATTCGGCATAATCACAACGCTCTTCTTAAACTGTCAACAATGGTGATTGTAACAAAGTTGAGATATACATTACCCAAAGGCCAACTACACGAACAAGAAAAAGAATGCCTCTGGAACTACCAAAATCACGATTACATTACCCCAAAATAGCTGATCTGACTCATTGTTCCATAGAATATACACCATATTTCAACACAACTACGTATACATCACTCCCCTTGCTTCGGAATGATGAGAGTGAGAAGAATGACCGCGGAGCTGCAACGCAGAACCATGAGGATATCACTGTCAGAAAGATTCTAAGCAAATTCCATGAACAGACATAAGCATTTCCTTCTTGAAATCCCAAAAGACTCTGGCACATGGCCAAAAGAAATATTCTATGTACGTATGCATTTTGAAATTTTTTAAACTATCTTCATTTAAAATTTTTATTATAAAATCCTTTTATACATGAAACACCACATATAAGATAAGTATATTCATTGGAGCTTGACAATTGTCGTATTCCATTTGTGTAGAGCAAGACTAACATATTGAATCCAAGTAGCACAAACTACTTTGATTCATAATGAACAAATAGTATAGATCATTGTGTGTATATATATAAGGGAGCTTTAGTTTTAAAACACAATATAGTTTACTAATTTGGACGATAGGAATACAATTTTACAAAAATAAGGCCAAAGACTAAAATGTAGTACCTAATTTTACAAAAATATCATTAAAAAAAAATATCAAAATTACACACAATATGCCGCTCCTTCTAAGGCAAGCATACTATGCCACATGTCCACATCCAGCTAACCGCCACCGCCTGACACCTGCCACCTGCCACCTGGCCCAGGTGCCGGCCACCTGCCACCACCACCACTGCCGGCCACCCATCGCCGGGAGCCATTGCCCATTGCCGGCCTGTCACCGCCTACAGGAGACCAACTCTGTTGCCCTTTATTCACCTTAAAAATAAAAAAAATAAAAAGATTTTGTGTCATTGAAGGGACTCAAACCTTCATGAAGAGCTCACTCACAAATCACTGCACTAAACTTGATTTTGTAATATTTATTCAGTTATAAAATATTTATATAAACAATCAACAGTTTTTTAAAGAAAAAAAAATCATTTCAACACATATTCACACAAAAACTGCAAATAAAAACATAAACTGCAACAATAATACAATGTAGATATCAGTTATGTAAACAAAAAAAACAAAAACAAAAATTAATTGTATAGAAGCAAAATGGAGGAACCAAGATGAAAGTACTAAAATGGAAACTGCAATGTGCAATGCAGAAACGGAAACTGCAATACAAAAATGGAAACTGCAATTCTGAGTTTGGGCGAAAATGCTCAGCTCTAGAGTTAAACAAAACAAAGCAATATTTTTTATTTATTCAAGATATGTTGGGAGAGGGGGAATCAGAATGAAGACCACCTAGAATGTAAAATAGGTTATTTATGTTTCTGTTTTCTGCATTGCAGGTTCTGTTTTCTACAATGCAGTTTCCGTTTTATGCAATGCAATTTATGTTTTCTGCAATGCAGTTTCTGCTTTTTGCCCTGTAGTTTCTGTTTTCTACAAAAAGCAAAAAGAGATATATACATACGAAAGCATCAGTTGGCTCGTGATTTTGAAATAAAGAGCAAAAAGAGATATATGCAGACGAAACGCAAGATACCTCCATATAGTAAACAGCTACATAATCCAATTTCCGCAAAATTAGCCAACAAGGTAGTTAATACATAGCAATATATATCATCATATTGATGAAAACCATATGAATTCCACATTTACAATAGGTATTTAAATGAACTGAAATTAATACAAAATTTGACTCAACTAAGCCTTATACCAAATTATCCATCATTTCCTTCTCTACCAATTTCTCAGCAATCAAGGAGAGAGAGAGAGAGAGGGAGAGGGAGGAGAAAGAGAGAGAGAGAGAGAGAGAGAGAGAGGAGCAAAAACTTACAAGGTGATCATCTCTTCTGTTGCCCACCCAACACCTCATCTGAGTAACCTCTACTCTTCAAATTGGTGAGGTTGAAGGCCAAGGAAAGAGCAAAAATCCAATTGTAATTAAATGGAAACTGCATCCGAAACTGCAGTGTAGTTTGTGCAAAACTACAATGTAATTGGTCATGTCAACTCAGTATATAAAGCTCAAATAGATCCCCCACCAGGCATTAAGGTAACTGTAAAACCCGAGAGATTGGTTTTCAATTCCACAGTTAAGACAATCTCCTTCACGGTAGTAGTTTCCACCTACCAAGTGAACACAATATACTTTTTCGGAAGCCTATCTTGGAGTGATGAGATACATGTTGTGACAAGTCCCATATCAATGAGAACATATAGATCATACAATCTTATACTGTTGACAATTGAAAATAGATCATACTCATCCAGTAAAATTGACTACATACTAATAAGCTCATTTCTCCGGAGACAATGTCTGCCTCCTTTTCTTTTGTTAGCGTAATTTTGTTAGTCATATAATGCACAGTTGAAAAGAATATAAAAGAGTCTGCTTGATGAACAAGGAAAGTAGACAAGGAATTTGATTCTCATTTGTGAGTGCACTGAAGAACAGAAAACCAGGTGCTTTGGTGGGAAAATTGATATGGCATCATTTTTTTTGCAGGTTAAAAAATATATTTAAAGGCACATCAAATGAATAAAAGATGAAAAATATTCATGCTTTTTTGCAGGTCCTAAAATATTATGCTTGGCCATGGCATGCAAATCACACCAAGCTTTTGTGCCCTACTTTTCAAGTTGACAATACAAAAGGCTGGGGATGTAGTTAAAGCAAAATATAATATTCAAAGTTTTAAGGAAAAAATTTCTACCCAAAATGATGTCCTCACATGAATTGAGAGAGAAAAAAGATTTTCAACTTTTCACATGTCCATTAGGACCAATAGATTATGATTTACAGATGCTGGGATGGCTGGCTTTTTAAAGTTTACACAATACCTGTAGAAAATCTCCGGAGTTTTCTTCCAGTTTTTTTATGAATTCCAATACGAGAAGAAACTGGACATGTGCAAGAAAAAAAAAACTCTCTTGAGCTAGAAGACCTTGGACTCGCCGGTGAATGCCGAAGGGATGAGCCGCGAGTCAAGCAGCTTGAGAATTCTGGGTCAGGCTTTTAAACAAAAGGGTATAATTATCTTTTTAGTGATTAATGTAAGGTAAGTCAATAAATCTGGGCCTCCTCTTCGGCCAAATCCAAAACAAAATTCAATTTCTAGGTATTAAAACCAAAACAGAAATATTGTTTGTCTCAAATAATAATTAATAAGGATAATTATGTCCAATACCTTTTCTTATATATTATAGGATCGGATCGGATGACACAAGTTAAAACACACTTTTAAAATAAAAAAATTAAACATGTTACAAAACTAAGGGAGCTGACTTGAGAGAAAATTTAGAGGAAGACAAATGCTCATGAGTTCTCTTCTCTTGTATATTTGTCATTCATCTTTGATGCCTATTTATAGGCATAGGAAGTTCATAGTTTACTACCATAAGTGGTGGCTTCCATTCATTCAAATTGGTAAGTTACAACAAAACAAACTTTTTATTTATTTATTGATATACCAAACCCCAAAGCTTTTTAATATTTTCATTGTATTATTTATATATAAAATTAAAAAAGAAAACATGTTTTTTTTTTTTTGGGTTTGATCCACGAGGTGGTCCTGGATGGGCCCCAACTATGGGTGGCACCTTTAAGCCTTAACCACAACCCAGACTAATCCCCGCTCACACCGGGTCGGCCCGTAAGGGGTAAAGTGCTGGCCAAAGTGGTGACTCCATACGAGAGCAGGGATCGAACCCCTGACCTTCTCTTAAGGAATGAGAGTGCCGAACCACTCACACCAACCACCTTGGTTGAAAAGCTTTTTTTTTTTTTTTGGTCTGAACCACGAGGTGGTCCTGGATGGGCTCCAACTATGGATGGCACCTTTAAGCCTTAACCACAACCCAGACTAATCCCCGTTCACACCGGGTCGGCCCGTAAGGAGTAAAGTGCTGGCCAAAGTGGTGACTCCATACGAGAGCAGGGATCGAACCCCTGACCTCTCTTAAGGAATGAGAGTGCCGAACCACTCACACCAACCACCTTGGTTAAGAAAACATGTTTTGGGTAGAACATGTTTTAATTTTAATTTATATATATTTTTAAAAACAATTTATATATAATAATATTATTATTATTGTTGGGCTGGAAACAAAGCCCAATGGGCGGATAGACGTAAATGGGTCCAATAAAATGTTGCCTCCCTTCTCTTGAAAAAACAGAAGGGAAAAGAAAAAGGCTCTCTTTTCTTTTTCATCAGAAAGAACTTCAGAAGAAGCCCGCAGAACCAGAAAAAGACCGCGCACTTATACTTCTGCTTCAGCTAAAGTAAGCTCTCTCTCTCTCTCCCTCTCTCTCTCTCTCTCATAATTTTCTGATTATTGTTGTTATAATATTTTGCGGTTTGTTGCTTGAATAACCTTTTGTGCCTGTTAGCTGTTTGTGAGAAGTTCTCTGATGAAATTTTCTTTATGGGTTTTGGCTTGATGTAATTTTCTAATGATCTGGGTTCCCCCACTGTGTCATAAAAAAAAAATAAAAAAATTAGAGAATGGAGACATCAGGTTTCGAAATCCTGACCTCATCCCTTAAAAGCCCACAACTTACCACTAGACCGCCAAGATTCCTTGTGCTATGTTGAAATAATGATCTTATTTAATACTAGCCATTCCAGATATAAAAAATGTAAAACTAACCCTAAACATCTTGCGCCGTCTCCATCCTCTCTTATTTTCTTCTTTCCTTCTATCGCTCTCCGTCAAGTATCTTGAGAGATTTCATTCTCTACTTGTTTTCCATCTCCCATTTTCTCAATTACAGTCTGTAGAGTTTCTGTTGGGATTTTGCCCTAGAACCCTAGAACCCTAGAACTCAGTTATCTTCGTTCCAACTTCAATTCTATTGCTTTATCCTTCTATTCTCTGATTTTAGTGGCTGTATTGGTGCTGAGTGAACTAATCACTTGTATAAAATAGCAGATTAGATAATATGGATGACAGTCTGTACGACGAGTTCGGGAACTATATAGGGCCTGAAATTGAGTCTGACCAAGAAAGTGATAGAGAGGATGAAGATGGAGAGCTTCCAGATAGGCAAGACGATGGGGCTGCGTCAGATGGCGATGATGCAGCAGCGGCTTCCAATGGGTGGCTAGCTGCAACCTCCAATGATGTTGATATGGACAATCAGGTTGTTCTTGCTGAGGACAAAAAGTATTATCCTACTGCGGAAGAGGTTTATGGGGAAGATGTTGAGACTTTGGTCATGGACGAAGATGCACAACCCCTAGAACAGCCCATTATCAAGCCTGTTAGGAATGTCAAGTTTGAGGTTGGCGTCAAGGATTCTTCCACCTACGTGTCTAACCAATTCCTTTTGGGTCTCATGTCAAACCCTTCTCTTGTTCGGAATGTTGCTCTTGTGGGGCACTTGCAGCACGGAAAGACGATATTCATGGATATGTTGGTGGAGCAGACACACCATATGTCCACTTTCGATTCAAATAGTGATAAGCACATGAGGTACACGGATACAAGGATTGATGAGCAAGAGAGAAGGATATCTATTAAAGCAGTTCCTATGTCCCTTGTACTTGAGGATAGCAAGTCTAAATCGTACTTGTGCAACATCATGGATACACCTGGTCATGTCAATTTCTCTGATGAAATGACTGCTGCCCTCAGGCTTGCTGATGGTGCTGTCTTAATTGTGGATGCCGCTGAAGGAATGATGGTAAGCAACTCATCTGTAGTTTTCTATAGATTATGTGAACGAGAGTCCTTGATTATGGTATAGTTTTCTATTTTTTCAATTTAAGTTCTGTCATGAACATGATTTAGCTGTCGCATGTCACTGCCTCATCTGTGGAAGAACATCTGAACAGGTAGGGTATACTGCTTACTTAAAAAAGTTTATGATTTTGATGAACAGGTAAATACTGAGAGGGCTATACGTCATGCAATCCAAGATCGCCTACCAATTGTGGTTGTAATCAACAAGGTATAATTTTTCCATATTCTAGAGCTGCTTTAGTTCTCAATTTTATTTCCATTTGGTCAGAATATGAAGTTGCGTACTTCCATTAACTGTACTGGTATTCTTACAAACATGAATTTTCATGTGAAAGGTTGACAGGTTGATAACAGAACTTAAATTGCCCCCAAGGGATGCTTACTTCAAGCTAAGGCATACTTTGGAAGTCATTAATAACCACATAACTGCTGCCTCTTCAACTGCTGGCAATGTGCAAATTATTGATCCTTTGGCAGGAAATGTTTGCTTTGCAAGTGCTACCGCAGGATGGTCATTCACGTTGCAATCATTTGCAAAGCTATATATTAAACTTCATGGTGTCGACCTTGATGCAGATAAGCTTGCTTCTCGTCTCTGGGGAGATATGTACTATCATAGGGGTGACAGGACTTTCAGGAGAAAACCCCCTGTTGATGGAGGAGAAAGATCATTTGTCGAGTTTGTGCTTGAACCCCTGTATAAAATTTATAGCCAGGTAATTGGAGAACATAAAAAGAGTGTGGAGGCAACTCTTGCAGAATTTGGTGTCACCCTTAGCAATGCAGCTTATAAATTGAATGTTAGACCTCTGCTGAGGTTGGCTTGTAGCTCAGTTTTCGGATCTGCCTCAGGCTTCACTGATATGCTGGTTCAACATATTCCTTCCCCTAAAGATGCCGCAACTAGGAAAGTTGACCACATATATACGGGACCAAAAGACTCTTTGATTTACAAGGCCATGAAAAATTGTGAACCTGATGGTCCTTTAATGGTCAATGTAACCAAATTGTATCCCAAGTCCGACTGTAGTGTGTTTGATGCATTTGGTAGAGTTTATAGTGGCAAGATTCAGACAGGGCAGACTGTACGCGTATTGGGAGAAGGCTATTCACCAGAGGATGAGGAAGACATGACAGTCAAAGAGGTGACAAAATTATGGCTTTATCAAGCTCGAGATAGGATACCCATAGCTGAGGCTCCTCCTGGTACTTGGGTTCTTATTGAAGGTGTAGATGCTTCTATTATGAAAACTGCCACCCTCTGTAATGAGTATTATGATGAGGATGCTTACATATTCCGTCCTCTTCAGTTCAATACGTTGCCAGTTGTGAAGACGGCAACTGAGCCTCTAAATCCAAGTGAGTTGCCAAAAATGGTGGAGGGTCTTAGAAAGATCAGCAAGAGTTATCCACTTGCAATCACTAAAGTTGAGGAGTCTGGGGAGCACACAATCTTAGGTACAGGAGAACTGTATTTGGATTCAATAATGAAGGACCTTAGAGAGCTCTATTCTGAAGTAGAAGTTAAGGTATTTGTTGCTCACACTTCTCATATTTTCTTCACTTTTATTGTGTACCTTTTCCACCTCTTAAAGATGTCAAAATTTTATTTTCTTCTTTTGTTGATGGATGTTCTTTTGTTTTGTATGTTTCACTTACAACGTAGGTTGCGGATCCTGTTGTTTCGTTTTGTGAAACAGTGGTGGAGTCCTCATCAATGAAATGTTTTGCTGAAACACCCAACAAGAAGAATAAAATAACTATGGTAAGAAGCAACTTCATTTCCAGAACTTTTATGAGATACTTTTTCAAATTATGATCACCTAAAAGCCGTTATCCATATGTAGATTGCAGAGCCGTTGGAAAGAGGACTTGCGGAGGACATTGAGAATGGTGTTGTAAGCATTGATTGGTCTCGGAAGGATATAGGCAATTTCTTCCAGACTAGATATGAGTGGGATGTTCTTGCTGCACGGTCCATATGGGCATTTGGCCCTGATAAGCAGGTAATTCACCCGTTAAGCAGCATGTAGCATTATAATGTTTACAAAGTTTTTATGTCCTTTGTACCTTTTTAATCCTAACATAAACTTTATGCATCTTCTATACATACTTTCCTATATTCATTACCCTTTCTCCTTCCTTTCCTTGAATTCTAGTTATACATTCCATGCCTTGCATGCTTTTGTTTGACACAAGGGTATATGTGCAGGGACCTAACATTCTATTAGACGATACACTTTCAACTGAAGTTGACAAAAGCTTGCTGAATGCTGTGAAGGATTCAATTGTTCAAGGGTATTTGAAATGAATTCTTGTTCTTTTGCCCTATATTGTTGTTTCAGTTTATTGCTTACCATAATGTTATGGGGGACAGGTTTCAGTGGGGTGCTCGAGAAGGACCCCTTTGTGATGAACCCATCAGAAATGTGAAGTTCAAAATAGTGGATGCAAGGATTGCACAAGAGCCATTGCATCGTGGATCTGGTCAGATCATTCCCACATCTCGTCGTGTGGCCTATTCATCATTCTTAATGGCAACCCCGCGGCTTATGGAGCCAGTATATTATGTGGAGGTAAATTCTTCCTTTTTGGTTTATATCACAATGAGATTTATTTTCAAGGAAGGTTATATTCAAGTACTTATTTCTTTTGATGTAAATGAGGACCAAGATGGTGGTTAAGGTGAAAAGTGTGGACATTAAAGCTGAACAAGCTGCTCACTTTTAGTTGCAATCTTTGTTGTTATGCTCTCTTATTTATTTATATTTTTGTGTTACCAAGCATAGGTGAAACGAAACAAATTATTTCTCAAAGCTACAAAAATGATCTATTTATTTGATTTTCCTTTTAAATAGAGTTCCCGAGGAACTTAGATTGCTTAATATGAATATAATGTCACTTCAATGACGGGAGCTTTACTTTGATTTTCTGATTGATTTTTGATGCTGTTGTTTCAGATACAAACACCAATCGACTGTATTTCTGCTATCTACACTGTTCTATCTCGCAGGCGTGGACATGTTACGGCTGATGTTCCTCAACCTGGGACCCCTGCTTATATTGTTAAGGTTTGTTGGCTCAGCTTTGTTTATGTAGAGTTCCAATTTCATTCTGTTGGTTCTTCATTTTATCATGAGGGAGGAGACTATTGCTGACAAGTGTTTCAATTGGATAAATTCAGGCATTTTTACCAGTTATTGAATCTTTCGGGTTTGAAACGGACTTGAGGTACCACACCCAAGGGCAGGCATTTTGCCTATCAGTCTTTGATCACTGGGCTATAGTTCCGGGGGATCCTCTTGACAAGAGTATCGTTCTGCGACCCCTGGAACCTGCCCCAATTCAACACCTAGCCCGCGAATTCATGGTGAAAACCAGACGCAGGAAGGTAAAAGCATTCCGTCATCTCTCTCTCTCTCTCTCTCTCGGTATCTTTCTGGCAAAGTTTGAGGAATGCTAAAATTTCCCTTAGTTGTACTTTTGCTATTGGAAATCACGAAATGCAGAAGAAAGCCATAACTAGGCATAAATTTGCTGATTTAAATTTTCTTTATTTTGTTGCCAATGGCAGGGAATGAGTGAGGATGTGAGCATCAACAAATTTTTCGATGAGGCCATGATGGTGGAACTGGCTCAGCAAGCAGCGGATCTTCATCAGCAAATGATATGATGGCGGCGGCTTCATAGTATCCAAAGTTTAGGGAGGAGATTGTAGGCAAATTTAGTATGTGATGAAAACCGGTAGAAGTATTGTGATGTTGAGCTTAGAATTGGAATCCACGTGACAAAAACGAAATGGAAATAGGTGGATGCTAGAGTAATATTTTTCTGTTGTAACTTTCGGGTGTCCTACTGTGACTGTTGTATCCAAATAATTTTTGGTATCCTTCTTATAATTCCATACAGAAACCAAAAAACCAGTAACAATACAGTGAGATTGTTCTTCTCTGTAATCCAAGAGGTTTCGATCATGCTGCTTGCTAATTATTTTTTTCACTTTAGAATTCAATTGAGAAATGTTTGGTTAATTTCAATGTGCCATGTTGACATCACAGATGGATGCTCCTGCTTGATCTTGCATTTCTTTCTGCCTATTCGATTGGAATGTACTTTTCAGGGCATGTCGGTGATCAGATTGATTTGAGGTTGTTTCTTGTGTTTGGGATGATGTCTAGTGGCATATTAACTATATTTTTTGTTTGATGTTGGTTTGATGTTCATTTGTTGGGGTACTTAATGGCTGTTCAAGTTCTTTGTGGGTTGGTTAGTCAATTGGGTGGCCTTGTGTGGTGGGAAACTGGTTTGAGAAAGAAAAGAAGGGGTTGATCATGGGGATCTGGAGTTCACATACCTCAGTTGGAAAAGTAGATTTCATTCAGGGAGGGGGTATTGGTGGACTCATTTGTGCATGTTTGTATCTCATTGTTTTGTAGCTCATTCATTCAAGAAGCGAAATTAACTGTTCCAGCATGTGAAATTCAAGTTGCATGCTGCAGAGGTAGACCATGAAGAAACAAATGTTTGATGCTTTTCAGCAGCCAAATAAAAAGCATTTTATGCGTCGCTATTTCAAAAACTAGTAGCAGAAAACTCCACAGAGGCCAACAATTCCGATCATCAACGGCAAAGGAACGCACACTCAGTTTTAGAGCGAAGCGATGCTTGAACCTTTGACTTTGGATAACAATTAAAGTATTACAAGGCATGGAAGTAGTTCTGACAAATAAATGCAAGTACACTACACATCTGCATATACCTTGAAAAACAAAGGTACAATAACAGAACAGCCTCTTCACAAAATCAGACCTGCCTGGCTACCTCAGTTATACAACACATTCCTTTCCTCGAAGAAGATTTAAACTCCATTGTCTGCCAATAGGGTACAAGTAGTTATTCCAAAGTGTGATGATACAAATGTCTTCTTTATCGTTCCATCTTCTCTGGAACAGATTGGAGCACCAGATACAGAAGGAAGCAAAGCAGCAGGCCCTTTCTGAGTGTTACCGGTTCGAACCTTTGCCCATCAGGGGAACATCAACTAATAAACAAGTAATTCTATCCTTCTAAGAGGAATTTGAGATTCTGAAGTCCCTCAGCAGAAATGCTTCGTCTGACTCTAGACCTCTCTACCACCACATGCGGAGGTGGCTCCAAGTGGAACCTCACCATAACTAGTGTCAAATTATCGCTTGCTCCACGCTTTATTGCCTCCTCTATTATTTCCTTGCAGCACAATTTCACATCATTGAGACCACTATTTCACATCATTATTTCTCACTCTCCTGACCGAAGGGAAGG